TCGTGCCTCGAAGATTTGCTTGCAGGATTGTTGTGGATGCATCAATTGATATCATAATCCAAGAGTATGGCACTCTTTTCCCTCAATTTACTTTCAGGCAAATCAAAATACTCAACACGATGTGAAGAAGGGAAGGGTTTACTCTAAGAACATTGTTCCAAACGAATCTCACTCCCTCTGTATCACCACACAGTGCCAATAATACTACGTCATTACACAAGTTGCTGCCCTTTCTCGCGGATGGTTGAATGTCACTAGAAGACTTAAGACGACAAGTAAACGAAGAATAAATTTTTAAGAAGCTCTTTTATTAGCCCTAATGCTTGTCCGTGCATCGATTACACATCTTGTGGTAAGTTTCAGAAAGTAGAGCCCCCATATTCCTTGACCGGTGTCAGTACTACTCCCCAGAGCGTTAATAAACAAGACAGAAGACGTGCGGTAATGAATCGGCTTCCAACTGTGTCCTCCACTCTACTAGTCATCAATAATCCTACTTCCAGCCACATGCATCACTACATCTTCAGGGATGACTGGAAGCAATTCTCACAAGGAGGCAAACTTGCTTAGTAATCGTTCTGTCAACAAACTGGTCAGCTCAACTCATTCCTCTTCTGATATGCTTAATATATATGCAAAATATTGAAAAATTGGTGAAGCCATGAAACAATAAGCACAGACCGCAAACTGATGAATGCAACTGCCATCCTTACGGCATGAATGATTAAGGTTGCACTAGATACTTCTATGCTACGCAGATACCGACACTCTGCCACAGTCATCACCTCGTTAAGACAGGGTGGGAAGGTTTTGTAAACACGACGCAATCAATGCCTCTGTAGGCTTGCAGGACACGGAGAAGCAAGGAAATGACATCACTTGGATAGCAAGACCTAAGTATTTTGTGAGATGGACCTCAAAGTGGAGCTTGAGAGGAATGTGTCAAAGTGGTGAGGAACTGCCAGGTGATAAAGACAACTTCGCGATGACTAAGGAAATAGGATTCCTGCATTTTAGCCTAATGTTCCTTTCTCGGGATTCTAGTTAGGGCATGTAACTTCAAATTGAGGCTCCTTCTGACCATAAATGAAATATCCTACGGCAGAGAGGCACATAATCTTTAACCCGTTATTGGTCTAGCATGATAGCACGTTGATTTTAGATTCGATATCCTGAGCCTCAAATGCAGATGTGTTTCAGGTGCACCCACTTTACATGCCAGAGCAACTTGTGAAGTAACTAGCAGAGGAATTGCTGCTTCACCAAGGTGTATCAAGGCAAAGGTATGGTAGTTGTTTTTTCTGTCACAAATTGAACCTTTTTAGAGAATGTGATTGAGCAATCACAACACTGCCCTTACTCTGCATTTGGCTAGACCAGTGCAATGGAGTCGAAATAGTAGCATGCCCGAAATTGTCATGCTGTTCGCTATTCCCATGAACAGGCACCATTTGGTGACATAAGGCAAAAGCAAAACAAGGTAAATTGAGCGCTTCCATCTACTGCTTGAAAAACAGCTGTAAAACGCGTTTTTCACTGCATTCACTCGCCCCTCTACTAAAAGTGCTTCCGCCACCGCCACCTCCACTCACAGCAGCCATTCACCCCCGTATCAGCATCACAAGCATCTCCGAACCACAAAGCAATGATTACGGACCACAGACTGAACCACCTATCAGCCAGTCACTCTCACTTTTCCTCACTCTACTCAGTGGCAATGTTGCAGCCAAATGCGAGATTGCCAGCTGCAACTTTATCT